GTCTTGGTGAAAACAGCTTCAGGAAAGTGCTTGGGTGCAGTCCAGAGCACAACAGGGTTGGCTGGGTGATCCACGTCAGCTCTCTTCACATTTTCATGCTGGGGGACGGTCTGTATATCAAATTACTCTGATTGGTCAATAAATAAAACACTGATTGGCCAGTGACTGGGCAGGAAGTATAGGCGGGACTAACAGAGAGGAGAACTGAGAGAACAGGAAGGTGGAAGGAGTCACTGCCAGCTGCCAGCCGCCACCATGATAAGCAGCATGTGAAGATGCCAGTAAGCCACGAGCCACGTGGCAAGGTATATATTTGTGGAAATGGATTAATCTAAGCTGTAAGAACAGTTAGCAAGAAGCCTGCCACAGCCATGCCGTTTGTAAGCAATATAAGTCTCTGTGTTTACTTGGTTGGGTCTGAGCGGCTGTGGGACTGGCGGGTGACAAAGATTTGTCCTGACTGTGGTCAAGGCAGGAAAACTCTAGCTACATTTTCATTTAAAAAGAAATCTGCTCACCATGGTATTACTAGGTTTCAAATTTTCCTACTTCATAGGGGAGAGGGGTGAGGGATGTGGATCACAGAGCTCATGGCAGAGAGTCCTAGAAAAGGCACTGCACTTCCTCCTGTCATTTGTCTCAGCTGCTGAGTCCTCCTTGTGTGCAGTTTCTACCCTTGGTCTGCAGCCCCTTTGTTCCTGAAGACTGTCTTCTGTGGGGGAGAGATCAAGGAGATACCGAGGCAAAAGGAAGGAAAATTCACCCACCATCCTTCAGAGACCATGAGGGTTGATACATGAGAACACAGTTTCCTGCTGCCTGGATTTTCTTTTCTGGACGGTCTCTACACTTCCTGGGCTTGACCGAGGGCTCAGCACTTCAGAACGCTTGCTGCTCTTCCAGAGGACCACAGTTTGGTTCCTAGCGCCCATAGCAGGCAGCTCCCAACTGCAGGTTACTCCAGCTCCAGGGGATCCAATGCCTCTGAACTCTGAGGGCACCTGAACACACGCACGCACGCACGCACGCACGCGCGCGCGCGCACACACACACACGCACACACACACAGAGAGAGAGAGAGAGACAGAGAAATACACACACAAGATACACAGAAAGAAACAGACACACACATACAATTTTTAACATTTTAGAATAATATTTATTTTATTTTGTGTGTGTTTGTGCACTGTGTGCATGCAGGAGCTTGCAGATCAGAAGAAAATTCCCATTTTCAGATCCCCCAAAACTGAAGTTACAGAAAACTGGGGACAGAACTCAGGTCCTCTATAAGAGCACCAAGCGCCCTTAACCACTGAGCCATCTCTCTTCAGCCCCTACAATATTTTAATGAATTAATTTTTAAAAACGATTGTTCCCTGCCTTAACCAGCTTACCTGCCATTCTAGGCTGATGACTGATTTCAAAAGCTCTTGAATTAACTGTCTGGATTTCACAATTCAAGTTATGATGAAATGGGAATTTTCTTATTGCGAAGTGAGGATCATTGTTTCTCACATCCCCTATATAAAACAGTGTTTTATGTGTAAAGAAGCTGTGTGCAATCTCCTGTACACACCAAATGATTGTTAGATTTCATATAATACCCGATACAACGTAAATGCTATTAAACAGTTCTTATACCGTGTAGTTCATGGATTAAGTAGAAAAAAGTCTGGGTCATTTCAGTCAGTTTCCAGGTGTTGAGATTAAAGGTGAGCACCATCAAATCTGGATTCAAGTGCAATAACCACCTTTTTTTTTTAAACATTTATATGATTTTGTTTATGCATATACCACAACGCACATGTGGAGGTCAGTGGACAAGTTCCAGGAGTGGATTCTCTCCTACCGCATGGATTCCATGAATCAAGCTCAGGTCGTTAGGTTTGGCAGCAAGTCGTCTTTGTACAGAGCCCCCTTGCTGGCCCCTCCAAATATAATGTTTTTGCAAGTACTATTGATGCTCAGTTGATTAAATCTGAAGACTTGGAAATGTGAAGACGGAAGGCCTGACTGCACACGAAGCTCAGAGTTGCTGCTGTTGAACTGTGTGGAACTCCGCTAGGACCTGGCCTTCCCAGAGTCCACCCTGCCCAGTCCGCATGTCTGGGTCTTTGGAATGGGTTGCAGCCATCTACTTTGACATAAGGGGAAAAGTGGAAACTTTGATTTTTTTTTTTAAATACTAAACAATTTATACTATCAGTTTTGTAAAACGGCGGTGAGATGGCACACAAGAGGCCTTGGCAGGTGTGAGCCAAGGTGCCCCGCAGCAGTCCAGGCGATGGCCACGGAGGCAGGCCATGCAGACGCAGGGGGCGGCAGCGTGGTGCGGTGGAAAGTCACTCACACCATGCAGACACGGCATCCATGCGGAAAGTTTTATTATTAGGGGGAGGGCGGAGGGAACAGAGGAGAGAGTGGGAAAGAGAGGGAAGGAGGAGAGAGAAAAAGAGAGGGAAAAGGGGAAAACAGAGGTGTGCACTCCCTCATGGCCAGAGAGGGAGGAAGGAGGCAGAAGGAAAAGGGGGAGGGGCTTTTCTCTTCAAGGGGACCTTACATAAGATGACATCAGGATGGAACAATTGGCCCTCTATGGGAAGTAATATGCAACACACACACACACACACACACACACACACACACACACACACACACACACACA